TAATATATTACACCCAGACATAGACAAGGGCCACTTTAAAAAGCACGTAGTTATGAAAGCCTAACTTTTCTGTAAACTTTGGTTAAAAATCACAATAAACACTTTAAAAAAAAAAAGGTGTGAAGCTGAGCAGTGCCAGTCAGAATCTGATTCTCAACTCACACATCAATCAACTCAGCTTCTATGTGTGGGGGTGAGAGGTGAGCTCCATTTGTTCAGCCCATGGCGTATCGCTGTAATGTTTGCATTTTTATAACAAATGGCAACTTTTGTCAGAAAAATCACATAAGCAGAAAATTGAGTACATCTCATTACTACATACACCCACACCCACACCCACACACCACAGACTAGCATCCCACAGGGGCTTATAGGAGGACATATTCTAACCTTACTTTCTGGGGACAGTAAGAGAATAATGTGCCCAAGCCTGGCATGGAGATACCAAGTTACATCTTCCCCCCGCCCCCATTTGCCTCAGCCCAGACAGATGTAGGACGAGGAAGTGTTGACCCAAAGCACAAAGGCAGAGGAAGTTACTGATGGACGAGGCCCATCCTTGTGGATTTTGGCATTCATTCTGGTTCCCTTAGACTGGCCTGCATAGCTATCTCATGCAAGGGGAGAGCACTGGGCTTGAACCTCCTACCAAGACTTGCATCACCTCCTAGCCACTAGGTTTTCTCATCTAGAATGTCAGGCGAAGACTAGCATCTCATTCCTCTGGTGGTTGTGAAGATTAAATGCATGAAGATTACATAAATACATTAAAAATGAAGAAAGATTTTACCATCTGTGACAACACTAAGCATTTAATAAATGTAAAGAAGAACAATACCAGACAGCACTGGTGGCCTAGGGGCAAGAAATTGTGGTGCCAGCCCTATGATGTTGTTATATGCTGCTGTGTCGCTTGTGACTCATAGTGACCCTATGTACAACAGCCCTAAACCCTGCTCTATTCTGTGCCAGTCGCATTGCCTCTGACACTCCCATCCCGATTACCCCAGTCACTGAATCAGTCCACCTCATAGAGGGTCTAAGATAGGTGGTTCAGATCCACCAGCTGCTCCTGGAGAGAAAGATACACAATCTCTTTCCACTCAATTTACAATCTCTGAAAACTGCTGGAAGATCAGCTAAGAATCTGTTCTGACTTAATAGCACCAATTAATAATATTTCATTAAAGTAGAATTTCTTAAGTAGTATGTTACAAATGGATAAAGGCTCAGAACTGGGTTTGCTGGTAATGAAACAGGCTAGAAGTCAGTGAGTCTGAGTTTTCATGTCTGTACTACTGGTACACATTAGCTATTAGGTGCTTGGCCTCAGATGTGTCTGGCTGTTTATGTGGATTGGCCCAGCAATGGCACGTGTCCCAGATGTCCACCTGGACTGTCACACCCCATCTGCCCTGCACCCTCACCGGACCAGTGCCAGCCCAGATGTCTGGTGTGAGGTGGTTCCTCCCTGGGAGGCCTCCTGCCCTGCCTTTCTCAAAGAAGCAGCTGAGATGCAGGGATGGGAAGGGGCCTGGCCTTCACTACAACTGGTGAGTGTCAGAGTCATCCCTGACATTCAGTGCACTTTAGGAATTTACACACACACACACACACACACACACACACACACACACACACATTCCTGGCTGAAAGCTGGGAGAGAGGAGGGGCTGACTCTGGAATAGCAACTTTTCCGTTTTCAATGCCTTTTTCCCATTTAAAGGAACATACCAAGAGACAGGGCAGCAATACAGTGAAAGAGGTGCTCCAGAATCTAGAGGGATTTAAATTTGAATCCTTGCCCTACCTGGCATTACTATTCTGTGCCTCACATTCCTTATCTGTAAAATGGGGATAATAATGGGGATCATTAGGTGCTTTAGCATATTCTTTGGAAAACATGCACAAACTATTTCTAGAAGGAAACAGAAACAAATGGTTACCACCAGAAGGGTGAATTAGGGTAGGGAAACAAACTTTTCACCCTTTTAAACTCAGGTACATAAATTCTCCCATTTGAGAATATTTTTTTAAATGACTGGACTGTTACTGTCTTTTTGTTTTGCTTTTTTAGAACAGTGCTGGGAAGTCAACAAATAAAGATTGGCTTTCCTTATAAAGAAGGTTTGAACACTTGAGATTCCCCCTGTAATACCTCAAATAGCCTCTGTTTGCTGCCTCTCTTCAAATCAAAGGCTTCAGACACAAGAGGCAGAAGCTGAAAGGGTGAATATTGCATTGAGACCTGGATTAGAATCCTGCGTCCCTCACTTGCTATCTGCACAATCCTAGATAAATGGCTTAGCCTCAGTATCCTTGGTTATAGAAGGAGACTAAACCCAAACTGAAGTATAGGATTTCATGAGTTAGGAGCTGAAACCTAGCAATCACCTGCCACGATTGACTCATTGCAACCAAAACAAGGGGCAGGTGTCACTATCATTCCCATTTTATAGATATGGGATTGAGGCTTTGAGTGGTTAAGTAACCAGGTCAGAGTTAGTCAACTGGTAATGGTGAGACCGGTATGTGAACTCAGACACTCTGGCTTCACAGCCCATGTCTCAAACCATTTCCTAGCCCTTCCTCTCCCGTGCATGCCACCTGTCTAGAAGAATATCTAGTATGTGGGACATGTTTTTAAAATGACAACTGTGGTTATTGTGGTTACATTTAGATGTTTAGGAAAACACTTTGGGACATGATGCCTTTACAATACATAAACACTTTTTGGGGGCAGAATTTAGTCAGAGAACCATGCCATGTTCAAGGGGTTAAAGATTTCTCACCTCCTTTCTATTGTATCACAAACCCTACAGCCAGCCCTCACGACAATTAAAATTCCTGTCCTGCATGCCTAGCCCCTCCACACAGATTGTGGTAGCCGCAGCCGTCACCCCACAGACAACGCCCGGGCTGCCTACAGAAGCTTGGCGTCCACCAGCTGAGGTAACACGGTGCAGTGACCATTCCAGCTGAGAGAGAGCCTTCCCCAAGTCCTGACTCAACAGGCTCCAAATGTCTCCACCCTCCACCTCCACAGCGAAACAGATTTTAGGACAGCTCTCAGCAAGGGACAAGCTGTTCCTTCTTACTGGTCAATAGTGCAAACGTGGACCCTGCCAACAGGAGAGTTTGTCAGTGCTACTCCGCCCCCCCCTCCAGTCCCCTTAATGATCAACTTTATGCTAACGAGTAAGCACCCCACAGGGACCAGAGTGGGCCTTGGCTTACACGAATCACAAACACCCACACTTTGGAACCACCCCTTAGCTCTCACCGGAGCTCAGCTTGAGGGAGGGGATGGATCTTGGCCACCATGGATAATGCACCAAACAGATAATCAGCTTATTAATAACTGAGCTTATTATTAGTGACAATGTCAAAAGCCATGAGTTAAAATTCACTTTCCAGGGGAGATCACCCTTCTGCAAAGGCAACACAGGACCTTGTTTCCCAATTTCTGGTTCTCCAGCAAGAGACTGCAAAGCAACTCAAATACCTAGATTAGTTCTTCACCAGGTGCCCTCCACAATCCCAACATACACACCCTACACCAGGAGACACAAAGGCTATCGGGGAGCAGAGGGGGTTTCAGGAAGCAAGGACTCTACCTCCCACCCCTATTTCCCAGCCTCTAAAGCCACAGTGGCTATAACACTGGGCTCCAGCACATCATGAGGATGGCACAGGACAGAAGGTTCAGATCTGTTCTTCAGTGTCGTTATGTGTCATAGTCATCTTGATGGCTACTGACAACAAAACAGCAAAGTGAGCTACTACGTGGACTGCTCAGGTGGCTGGGACAGCTTCCACTTCAGGCTGAGACCATCTCTGACCCCAGATCTCTGCACAGGGTCTCCTGTCCCACTTCACTTCTGTCTCAGGGAGGCCCCGTTGCTCTGTGGGGAAGGATGGGCAGTCTCCTCCAGTGTGACTTCCTGCCTCTGAAAACCTGCTGGAGGGTCAGCCATGGGTCGGTTCTGACTCAACAGCACATGACAGCAACTCACAAAGTCGGGGGCTCTGGTGGCTTGGTGATAAGGAATGGTGCTGCCAATGCAAAGGTACATGGTTTGAGTCCACCAGCTGCTCCATGGGAGAAAGATGGGCGGTCTCCTCCTTTGCAATTTACTGCCTCTGAAAACTCACTGAAGGGTCAGCTTCTGACTCGACAATACACAAAAACAACAACCTTGAAAGTCATCAGACTTTGTCTTCTCTCAGGCAAATTACAGATCAGCCCCACCCTTTTCCAAAAGAGAGGTTCTAGACTTGGAGAGGTCTTGCTGATGTTAAAAGGAGGCCCTGAGCTCACCACAACTGAGAATACCCCAGCCTTGATCATTGCCTGGCTGTGTCACCAAAATCCTCAGGAGAGGAGAGCCTGATGGGCCACCCCCATGAGCACACGTCCCAGGCCACGACCTGGGCCACATCAGGGGTCAGGCCTGGGAGAAAGGAAGGAGCAGCAGCGAGGCCATGGCCAGTGGCTACATGGTTATCAGGAGAGGAAGGCACCTTGGGTGGATGGAGGTGGTGGAGAGTAGGAAGGGAGAGGCAGCATCTTCCTCTTTGGGAGGTGGAGGGAAGTGAAGTAGCCTGTGGGCAGTGTTAGAATTTCCCTCACAATAGTCATCCTCAGAGGGCCAGGGTCACCTCTGGGCTTGTGGCAGTCATTTAGCTGGACCTAGGGGACACCCATCATGCAATAACGTGCCCAGAACTCAGAAGTCACCCAGCCCTCCTTCTTCCTCTCACCCTCGACTCCATCAAGGGCTGTCTGGAGTGCATGGCCTTTGCTGGACCAGCATTTGGGCTATAGCTGCCAAGCCTCTTGTCCTTCTTCACATGGCCGGTGTGTAGCTAATTCCTGTCATTTCAGGTGATCTGTTCTTCAGGTGAACATGATCACAGGCCATAATGTCCTCATGGCAGAGGTGACAGAGTGTCCCCAGGAGTGGGGGAGAAGAGTAGGGAGGGCTCGGGCTCAGTACCTGTATCCTGTCCTCTGGCAGCTCTGTCTTCATGGCCAGCATCTCGCGGGCATAGACGTCTGGGTAGTGGGCCTCGTTGAATGCCTTCTCCAGCTCCTCTAGTTGGTAGGAGGTAAAGATTGTCCTGAGGGGAGAAAAACCAGACACTCAAGACCCCAGAGACTGAAAGCACCTGCTGCAAAGAGGATAGATGGCTCCTCCCCTGTGCCCGTGCTGGCTCAGCATTGTTCTCTCTCTCTCTCTCTATCTCTATCTCTCTCCCTCTCCCTCTCCCTCTCCCTCGCTCTCTCTCTCTCCTATGCATATATTTGCCACATACTCTCACAGTTTAATTCTCTATATTCTTTTTTCATTGAATGCTGAAGTTCCCCACTAACCTCCCTGAATGATTTTCCACATTTGGAATCTTTCTGGGGGTGTTCCGGGGAAAGGAGCATTCAGGGATAGCGCTGATCCAGCAAATAGATGTTCTAGTTCTCTGGGACTGCTTCCTGGGCTCCCCTTATAGACACTAAAGGGGATTTTTTTAAACTGCCCTCCAAAATAACAATTAAAAAAAGCAAAAAAGTTGTACTCCAGGTTCCAAGACTGACTAGAAAGTCAAACAGAGCTGCAGTGTCAGGGTGTGCCGAAGTGAGACAAATGGGTCACCCAGCCCCTCAACCCACCCCACAGCTCCAGCTCTGTTCACCCACATTTCCCTGCTGTCCCCTAGACCCCCAGCTCCCTAGAGGCTCCCTCAGGTTCTTCTCCCTGCTCCCCCCACAGGTGGAAAGGCCAGGGCCATCTTCTAACCACCTCACACAGGCTCAGCCCCTGTGCACTTGTCCATTTCCGGTCACCCTAAGAGGCTGAGTGAACTGCCCCCCTCACTCTCTGCCCCCTAGTCCTGACCCCAGCATAGCTCGTATGGATCTTCTGTGAGTCACACATAGCTTAAAAACCCTGGTGAAAGCTGCATTCTCTCCCCTCGGGAAAACACACACAAGTGAAAACATTCTAACATATTACAGAACTTTTTTTTTCCAGGACAAGACAGTTCTGCTCATAGGCTTCCTTTATGGAATAAACACGGACGACACAATTGCAAATAAGAACTCTTTCTCAGAGCTTCATTTTATCAGGTTCTGGTGACTTTTCCTCTAGACCTTCATCAACAAGCCAATGGGCAAACATTGTCCAGTTTCTACAAGCTGAATTGTATGCAGCCTGGACTTGGTGCCCTGGAATCCAGAACACAGGAGTTCGGACTCCCCATCTCCCCCGACACAATGGAAGAAGTACAAAATGAAGCTCACACAGCCCTCACTCCGGCGTCCACTTTAATATCCTGAGGAACTGTGCAAGAGGTATCTGAGGAAGAAGGATTCTGCTCTTCAGAGAAAATGGCCAGTTTGATTCTAAACCATTGACTCTGCTCTCTGAGGGAGGCATGGTGGCATCACCCACAGGGAGTCATGTGGCTAAGCCAAAAATGGTGCCTCTGCAGAGGTTCAAATCCACCAAGTGGCCCCATGAGAGGAAGGTGGGCGCTCTCTTCCTGTGAGATTGACAGACTCTGAAAATCCACTGATGGCTCAGCTACAAGTTAGTGTCTACTCAGTAACAATGATGTGGGGGTTTGGTTTTGTTTTATCATGGTTTGTTTTGTTCTTGGGTGTAAGGCAAACCCTTTGCCATGGAGTTGCTTTCAGCACATAGGGATGCCGTAGGGCAGAGCTGAACTGCCCCTGGGTCTCCAAGGCTGTAAAACTTTATGAAAGCAGGGGACCTGAAAAGATGGGGTGGTAGTGGGCATAGATCAATGGTGACTGGTTTTATAAAACACAATGTATGGGAATGATCACATGAAAGACAATGTGAATGAAGAAATGTGTGAAACACAATGTATATAAGTGAAACACAATATGTATTAACTTTGCATGCGAGTCAATATAAAATTATAAAAAATATGGAAAACCCTTTCTGAAAGCAGACTGCCATTATCTGGGCTTCAAACAGCCAGCCACTGAACCACCAGGGTTCCCTGCTTATATTTGTTGTTCTTGTTGTTGTTGTTGTTAGGTGCCATACAACTCATAGTGACCCTATGAACAACAGCTCTGAACCCTGTTTTATCAATCACAGAGAATCAACTGTTCAGAACTTTGAAGATCTGCTGTGTTCTCTTCTCTTCTGTCCCTGAACTTGATGGTGGGAGGGTGAGGAGAGTGCACACATCCTCCCCCCTCACGAATGATCCCAAAGTGGAAGTCTTTGCCAAAGGTAGGGCACTGCACAGGGAGTGTGGCTAAGGTGGGAAGCTGATTAGAAGTCTTTTAGGATCCGTCAGGCCCCTGCATCTGTCTGGGAATGGTCACCATCAACAAAAGGACAAATCCCCCCACCTTCTTCTAATTCCACTTGAAGAGCTGATGCACTGTGGATGCTTACTGTTTCCAGGGAGCCTGCCCCTAGCCCCACACACAGTCCCAATGCTGCCCCTGGTGGGACTCAGGACCCCAGAACTCAGGACTCCAGTCTCCAGGAGCACCGTGCCTGAGAGGAGCTGAGCTTTCCGGGGAAAGGGGAGGAAAACCCCAAGGCTCAGTGCTCATGCTGCTCCAAGCCACCCTAGCTCCCACTACAACCTCTGCCAGGCAGGATTGTGTCTGAGGAGATAAAGACCTGTTCATCTCACACCCCCTGATTCTAGGCCTTTTACCCCAAATTCTCACATAAGCGATCAGAAAAACACATTCCCTCTCCCCCAATTAAAACGGTATCTCGCCATCGGTCACCCTTCCCCTCTATCCATTTATCTGCTCTGCTTCCTTCGTGCACCAGATAAAAACCAGAAACCTAAGGTTTCTCTTAAGTTTGCAAATCGCTGTCATGTCTCACCAGGAACCCGCTAAAGTTCCCCAAAGGCATTCTCAACAGCGGAGCAAGGAGCAAGCAAGCGTGGGGCTACAAACAGCGAACAGGCCACAAACAGGACACAGCCAGGACTGGCCGAAGTGGAAACACTGCTCCTGCAGTCAGAAGCATCTTGTGGGAACACTCCACCAGGCCCAGGATGAACCTGCCCCAAAGCAGTTCCGTCTGCCCCTCCTCCACTACAGCCTCTCCCTGCTTGGGGCACCTGACAGGACACCCCTCCCCAAGACAGCACTGAGGGGTGTGTAGATATTTTAACGAATATTCGTTGAATAAATGAGTTCATGAATGTTTTCGTTTTGTTTTTAAATAGGCTCAAGATCAGAGCCGACTTAAAAACAAGCAAACAAGTCTCTCTTTAAAACAAAAACCATCAGTTGCCCGGAGGAAATGACATGAAGTCAAGGAGAAAACAAGTTGACGTTCACTCTCCCTAAAGGCCACACCAGACGGCCCCCCGGGGAGACATGGGAGGGTCATTTTCAAAGATGGGGGCCAGGGGGAGAAGTTGAAGGGACTAGTAAAGCACTGAGAAGCTGGTGCAAAGAGGCCAAGAATCAGGTAGACAGGGGAGAGTGAGTTGGGGTGAGGAAGGGATCTGGGAAGCGTCGCCTTAGGGAATTGTCCTGAGAGGCGTGGGGACCCGTGGGCGCGCACCTGAACTGAGGTGGAAAAAGAGAAATGGAAAAGGAAGGGGAGGTGGGCGTTAGGACTGCCCTCAGGGGACACGATTTTTTTTTATTCTTCCGCCTTTATTTCCTAAATTCCCACAAGGACCCTGTGAAACAGACAGTGAAACAGACAGGAATGGGATGGCGGGGTGGTGGGAGCGGGGGTGGAATGGGAAATCGCTTCTTTTCCAAGCTCTCCTTCCTCACCGATAGAAAACTGCGTAATTAAAAATATTTTCAAAACTCTCTTGTGGTCTGTACCTCCAGTAGCCCACCCCACTCCGGCCAGTTTGCACCCTTCTCAACCCACCAGGGCGCAGACGTGGAAACGGAGGTTTGTGGATGGGAACAGAGATCCTCAAACAGAGACCCAACCAAGAGGAAATTTTCCATGAAAGCGGAATCCCGCTCGGGCTTTGGCAAGGGCGGGGAGAAGATGGGATGGGGATGGAGGCAGAAGGAATGGGACCTGCCGGGGATGGGGGTCTCGGCCAACGCCGGAATCCCGACTTTGGCTTCGGCAGGCCGGGTTGGTCCTTGCTTTTCTCTCGCAGACCCGAAGGGGCCTCATCATCCAACTCCCCTCTTCATCTTTCATCCTCGCTGGACACCAGGGCCCCGGCAGTTTTCCCCCAAACAACCGGGGTCTCCCCACACTGGAGAGCCCTGGGGCCTCAGGAAATGAGGTTCACGGAAAGGAGGGCCAAGCCCCGAGCCGGGGACGGAGGGACTAGATGGGTAGGAGTCAGAAAGCGCCGCGGGGGCCTTACCTGTGTCGCCGCTTCTTCCGCTTCTTGGTCTGGTTTAAAGCCGACTTGGACATTTTCCGGTCGCTGGAAGAAACATCTTCCGAATCTGAAAAGCAGGGGTACACACTTGCGGCGCCCCTGCCCGCTAGGGCCCCACTCCCGGCCCTCTCCGGGAGCAGCGGGGGCGCCCACTGTCACGCCGGGTGTCAGTCCCGGTCCTGAAGCCCAGACGAGCCGCACCCTCGGCGGCGCCCGAGTAGGAAGGTCTGGAACGGATTTCTTTGTAAGAGAGGCCAAGCCTGCAGCCCCTGGGGGCTGGAGCCTCTGCGGCGGGGCGCAGGCAGTTTCGAGCACAGGACCCTCGGGGGGCGCCCAGGGCAGAAAGTTGGCCCCAAGAAGCGGAACCCGGGCGCGAGGAGCTGCGTGCGGAGAAGGGCCGGGGCTCCCTGCGCAGCCCCACTCGCAGTGCACACAATGCGCCCCTGCTCGAGGCTGGAGAGCCTGGGGCGCCACTTTTCGTTGTCTCCCATCCCCGAATGAAAAAGAAAATGGAAACGAAAAAATCGGGGAAGATGTTAAACAAGAACAGAAGCCGAAGGGACCCTGCTGGCGGGGACGGAAGCCGGGAAAATGGCCTGGGGAGGGCGCGGTGGGGTCACTCAGGGGCCCCATCTGCCAGGCGCGGGACCCGATAGCCTGTGGCGCTGGCGGGGATCGGCTGCCGTCCGCTTGGGCTGCAGTGGTGGCCCAGGGTTGTGGGGGTGTAAAAGCAAAGCCTAGTTGACCAACGAATGGGATTTGAAATGGAGAAAAGGGAGGAAAAAAGAGGCAACTTTGGAGCCGGAGGCTGGGGCCGGAGCTGACAGCCGCTTGCCGGCCACCTGCGCGCAGCCGACTTGGGCTCCTGGCGCGCCGTCCTCCGGAGGCCGGGCCGCAGTGGAGCAGACGGGCCGGGGGCCTGCAGCCCCCCTGGAGCTCCGGCACCCCGTCTCCGACACCCTGCAGTCGGTACCATGTGGGGCCCCGGTGGGGCGCCGCGGCTGAGCCGGGCCTGAAGCGGAGACCGAGGGATGTGAGGCGGGAGGCAGCGCCGAGGCGAAGAGCGAGGGGCGCGCCGAGCATCCGCTGGCCCCTGCCAGAGCGCAAGAGCCCAGGCCCCGGGCGCGACTCTGCGGCCTGGGACGAACTTTTGCGCTCCGAGAAGGCCTGTGGGGCCCGCGCGGGCCGACGGCACTGGGGTCCCGGCTATCGCCCTCTCTCGCCCTCGGGTCAGGCCGCCGCACAGCCTCGCCCTCACCACCTACCCGAGCTAGCTGTCTGGCTGGTGTCCAGCGGTCCCGACGCTCTGCCTAGCGGCTGCAAGTGTACACTCTGCGGGTCAGACAGCACTTCCAGGAAGGTGGGCTGCGCGTAGAAGCCGGGGAGCCCCCCGGGCCCCAGCAGCCCCATGCCGCCCACTCCTGCTGGGCTGAGCACGGAGCGCGCCGTCAGCAAGTGCCCAGGGGCCAGGCTGTCGAGGGCGGCCCGCGGGTGCGAGCTGGGGGGCTCCTTGTTTAAGCCCAGGATCTCCTGGATGCCGAAGCCCGTGCACCTGGCCGGGGCGCCCCCCGAGGTGCTCTTGGCCACTGTCTCTGCTTTGGGCTTGCTCAGCGCTTCCCCGGCTTTCCCCGTCATCTCCTGGCTCTGTGGAGGCGCTGAGGCCGCAGGTCTTTGGCTCCCCCCACCCCCCCGTCGGGCTCCCCGCTTCGAGAAGTTGGTCCCAGGTGCCCCCTCCGGTGTCTAATGCTCTGGAGCCCCAAGGAGATTCCCCTTTTATCCAACCAGGCGGCAGCCCAAGTGGGGTCAGAGCTGAGCAGCCAATCACCGGGGCCAGGAGCGATTAGGAATTCCAAAAAGCCGGCGACTCCCGCCAAGCTCTGCGCCCTGGGGCCAGGGCACAGAGGTCCAGGCACCAGGTGGGCTTTACAGGAGCTCATGGGCAGGGGCCCCAGTGGTGAAGTGAGGCAGACACGGTTTTGAGCTGTGTCAGGAGGCAGGTAGCTTGGGATTCTGGACTGAGCCTGGCTGGGGATGACCATGGCTTGGCCAGACAGGTCCTTGAAAGAGAAGGGAGCACTGAGACTAGAGCCTGAGAGAGAGAGAGACTCCTTCCCGCCTTCAATTCCTTTGCAGGTCTGCAGGCTCAAATAGGCCTGAATATGAGCATGGAGCTTCATGTAGAAAGTGCAACGGCTGAGCGGCAGGTGTCCGGGTCTGTATGGTGGCACTAGGAAGAACAGAAAGGCCAGCAATTTAGATGGAAGACATGGAGCGAGAAGAAGGGAATTTCAAAGCCTGCCTCCTCATACAGTAGAAGGGCCTTGTCTTAGGGGGGGGGGTTCCTCTGGAGCCAAGTTAATACATAACCTTAACCTTCATAGGCCTGGTTATGAAGAGCCACTCCATAAATAATGATCCAATGAACAAATGGGCCAAAGGATGATGATGATGAAGATGAGTCCAGAGTCAGAAAGTGGAGGAGAAGTGGTATTTTCCAACAATCATAGGTGTCTGAACATCTTCCTAGAATGAATGTGAAGTGTGCTCAACTTCCATGGTAGGACGTCATTTATTCTCCCATCCATTCATTCAACCAATATATATGGAGCCCTTATGGAGCAATATATATGGAGCTGGGAGCTAGAGATTCTGCAGTGACTCAGAGAGAAGGCAAGAGTGCCTGTTGTAAGAGTTCACCAAGCAAACAGAATGAAGAGGACAAGAGAGGAGGGAGGTAATAATAAGGGGGCTTCCCTCTCTCTGCCCAGGAGGATGCAAAGTCCCTGGACCAACGGCTGAGCTCAAAATTGCACCTCAGCTGTGCACCCTTCTTGGGAGTCAGGGGATTGCCTTATCTTGGCATTTCTCTCCCCACTGTGGCCAGCGAAGAAGTAGGTTTCTAAGAAATGTTCCTTAAATGGAAAGTTCCCTGTGAGAGGACATAAAGGCAAGGATGATTGCAAAGGGCCAGGCAGCTGTAAACCCTCGAAGAGAGGGAACCTTCTCACCGCCAACACTGCCAGTGGGCCGGGGAGCCTCTGTGGTCTCCTCAGGGACAGAGAGGTAAGAGGAGGCCCCTGGAGGCCGCAGAACTGGGGTCTTAAAGGATTTTTGTGAGGAGGGTCTCCCCACTCTGGTCTGGTCCACATGAGGTCTAGAACTAGGCAGGGACGTTTTGCAGTGCAGGAGTGGCCTGGCAGAGATACACCGTTAACTGCTTACTCCACCATAATGCCATGTCTCCTGTGTACTTACGTTGTCCCAGCCTCTGGTCCTCAGGACAGCAGTGTTAGTAAGGCCAACATCCTACCAATCAAAGGCCTCATGATTCTTACCTGGAGGCAGATCCTTGGGTGTGTGCCATTTCAGTGGCACACTTCGCCTTGTTTGCTGTGGAGTTGGGGTCCAAGCAGTACTACACATACAGACAACAGTATGAAAGTTACCTCCTGGTTGTGTAAAACAGTGGCCTTGCCTGCCCAGTATGAATTTCGACTGGTACTTGATGGTGGTGGAAACTTAGGTTAATTAGAAAGGCTAGATAATTTTTCTCAAGTTTCCTTGTAAGCTCAGAGACCAGACTCTACTTCAGGTGAATTCAATGTTAAAAGCTGTTATTTCATTCTCTCTCTCCTCTAATCTTTAACTTTTTTTTAAAGAGGATACGAGAAGAGAAAGTAGTAGAAGGAGGCTTGGAACAGAACTGTCTTTAATCTCCGGTGAACCTTTTTCAATCAGCTCAAACTTCAACACGCGTCAGGTCAAAGCTGAAAGAACCAGCTGGCTGTCAGAAAGAGTACAGGACTGGAGTCTCCTTGACCATCAGTCTTTTTCTTTAAAAAAAAAATTTTTTTTAAAAAAACCCTTTCTCTTTTGTCTCTGTCCCCCCTCAGCCTCCTCTCCATGTCTGCCTTCCTTGGGAGAATGGATGGGGATGTTATGTTGATGGCATCTGTCATGTCCCTGACTTATCATGGGACAGTCACAATAAGCCAGGCGATGGGCAAGGACGTGAGTGATGGAAAAGCAGGCGTGTGAGTGATGGGAAGCTCAGTTCTTGCCAAGAGATGAGAATGAAAAATCTCTGGACTAAACCCCATGCCTGAAGCTGCCAGTTCCCCAACCCAGGGAGAGAGCTACCATTCTGCTCAAGAAAGGTGGCTGGAGTGGGGCAACCCCAGGTCCTCTGAGAGGTGCCCTGGGCAGAGGCTGCAGATGGAGAGGGCATCCTCATCAGTCCACAGCCAACTTCACCCTCAGACTGGAAGGCTGTCTCTGAGGTTTTGGGGTGTCATTGTTATTACTCCACAGAAGTCCATCTTGAACCATACCCAGCCTCATCACATTTGTAGACTGGCAGGGGAGCTGTACAGGGGAAGCTGTTGTATGTCATCGCCTCAGCTCCCTCTCACAGCAACCTCGCTCACGACAGAAGGAAGCCTTGCCTGACGTTCTGCACGTCTAGTCTCGCAACCCCTGCCGTGCTTCAGCACTCTGTGTCAATCCAAATCGTGGAGAGTCTTCCTCTTCTACGCTGACCCTGTACCTTTTCAAGCATATCATTCTGTGGGGACTAGTCCCTCTGAAGAACAATCCTGCAGAAGGTGAGATGAAGTCTCACTAAAGCAGAGACTCAATCAAGCTAGATGTGGGGGGCAGGAAGAAGAAGGGGGCTTTACTGTATTGCTTCAGTGGCATATTGTTTTTGTTATTGTTTTTGTTAGGAGCCTTCAGGTTGACTACAACTCACAGCAATCCTTTGCACAACAGATTGGAACCCTGTCCTATCCTCTGCCATCATCATGGCCTCAGCTATATTCAAGCCCATGTTGTAGGGCTAATCTATCCCTTGAGGGTTTTGCTCTCTTTCACTGACCTTTTTACCTTTCACAGTATGATGTCTTCCCCCAAGGACTGGCCCCTCCTGATACCATGCTCAAAGCATACGAGATGAAGTTTTACCATCCTTACCTCTAAGGAGCAACCTGGTTACATTTCCTCCAAGACAGATTAATTTGTTCTTTCGCCAGTTCATGGTCTATTTAGTACTCTTTTCCAACACCACAGTGCTCTTTGGAGGCAGGAATGATGAGGCTTCGCCTCACATACTTTGGGCATATTGCTAGGTGCTATTCTTTGGAGAGGGACATGATATTGGGAAGGGTGGAAGGTCGGCAAAGGAGAGGAAGACCCTCAACCGGGTGGATTGACACGGTGACTGCTGCAATGGGCTCTTATATGTCAGAAAGTGTGAGGATGGCGCAGGATAGAACAGGGTTCAGATCTTTCGTTCATAAGGTCATTAGGAGTCATACTCGACTCAACAGTACCTAACAACAACAACAAAGACCTCACAACACCACAATTCAATTGATTCTTCTTTCTTCCTAATTCATTGTCCAACTTCCAGATGCATGAGAAGCACCTGAAAATATGACTTGGATCAGGCACACTTTAGTCTTTAAAATGATATCCTTGCTTTTTAGCACTTAAGAGAAGTTCTTGGCAGCAGATTTTTCCAATGTCACATGTCTTTTGATTTCTTGACAGCTACTACAGTCTGATTGTGGTCAAGTAAAATTAAATCCTTGACAACTTCAATCTTTTCTCTTTCTAAGATAATATTGCTTATTGATCCAGTAGTGAAGATCTTTTTTCTTGATGTTAAGATGTTATCCATAGTGGAGGCGGTAGTCTTTGCTTTCTGCAGTAGTTTCTCAAGTCTTCTTCACTTTCTGCAAATAAGGTTGTATCATCTGCTTAACACAGTGGATGAGTCCTCCTCCATTCCTAATGCCATGTTCTTCTTCATAAAGCCCAGCTTCTTGAATTATTTTCTCAGCATACAGATTGAATAGGTATGGAGAAAGGATACAACACTGATGCACACCTTTCCTGATTTTAAACCATAAAGTAGTCTCTTGTTCTGCTTGGACAACAGCTTCTCTGTCTATGTGTAGGTTTCCCATGAACACTATTAACTGTTCTGGAATTCCCATTCTTCTCAATGCTAGTCATAATTTGCTATAATCCACAGTCAAAGGCCTTTGCATAATCAATATACACCCACAAGTAGACATCTTTCTGATATTCTCTGCTTTCCGTCAAGATCCTTCTGACTCCAGCAACGATATTCCTAGACAGCCTCTTTTGAACACATTTTTAATTTCTGGAAGTTCCCTGTTGATGTACTGTTCTAGCAATTTTTTTTGTGTGTTCCAGCATTTTAAAAAATAATCTTAACCAAGATTTTACTTGCATATGATATTAATGATCATGTCTAGTAATTGCCACATTTTGTTTTGTCATCTTTTTTAAAAATTTTTTTAATTTTTATTTTATTATTTGTTTGTGTGTGTGTGTGTGTACCATCAAATCAGATCTGACTGTTACAGGAGGAGATTGTCCCTCCTTCCCCGGCAGAGCATCTGGTGAATTCGAACCGTGCGCCTCTGGGATTGCAGTGCAGCTTCTTGCCACTAGGCCACCAGAGCTCCCCTTGTCATCTTTTTTGAAATGGGAAAAAAATTTGGGTTTCTTCTAGCCAATTGTTGGCCTAGAGGGGTGAACACGCCCAGGGCTGCATCTGTTTGTTGAAACATGTCAATGAATATTTTATCAATTCTTGGGTTGTA